CTCGCTAAGCTAAGAAGAAGAGGCCGCAAGTCCCATCGGGCGTCCGCAACAAAGTCAGCGGGAGGGATGTGCCCGGGGCGCCCCAAGTCCACATGGATTCAACAGGCCCACCCGGGCCTTTCGCGGAGGGGATCCTGGGCCCCCAAGCCCCCCGGGGAAAAGCTGAGGCAGCCTTCAGGCAGTTGTGGCCTCTTCCCCCCAGGCAGGGAACCTCCGGAGCCCCCCCCGAGCCCCCCCGGACTGCCAGTTATTTCAATTTGCCTGGCCTGATTCCCTTCTCGGACTTCCCCTAGTGGGAGGCTGAATGCTGCCCCCTTTCCAGGGCCCTGGGAGTGCTGGCGGTTCTCCTGACGTGCTTTTTAAGTGGCGCCGCAGCTCTTGAGCCTCACGGAGAGGGGATGACCCTCCAGGGACCCAGGAGAAGCCCCCGTTAAAGAAGCACCGAGCGGCTTCTCAGCCTCCTGCTGGAAAGTCCGCTTTACGGCTGGCACGGTCCCTGGAGACTTTTCAATCGGTGCACCTCCCACACCGCACACATGCTGGAAGGCAACTGCAGGCTCCCTGAGTGGCTGCGCCTTCCGGCCTCTGGGGAGCTTAGGGCTTCTGAAAGCAACGGGATCCGAAGGCTAAGAAGCAGGACTTGGCTGCTCTCTCCAAAGGGCGACGCCGGCAGCCCTCGCGCTCTGCTGCGTTGGGGAAGAGAGGAGCCGTTTAAAGCCCCCGTCAAGCAAGTTAAATAACTCGACTTTCTTAATGACATATTAATCAAAGTGCATTGATTCCCGAATCAGATTCTGTTGCCAAAGGAGCCTTTGATCTTCCCAGCCCCGACGCAGGCATTGGGGGAGTTTTATTCTGACAGGTACAATATAGCAATCAATAAAATCTTATTATATGGAGCTGATATACATGGATTTGCTCCGAGGATTTATGCGCCACTTTCAGAGCCGGGACTATTTCATGCCTCTGCTTCAACCTGTAATTGAAAATAAATCTCTCAAAACACTCCCAGGTTCTGCTCCCTGGACGAGTTAGCAGCGGGAACGGCGCCGGCCTTTCCACGGGGGAAATGTAGCGCTGTCACCTTGCTTCTCCGGCCACTTAGCCAGCGTTTCCCTGCTGAGAAACCCTTTGCTGGGCAGGCAAGTCACAGGGATGGCTGGGGGACGCTCCCCCCCCCCCCGGGGCTGAATCAGTCACACCCACCACCCGCCAGTCCTGGAAGAACCCCAAAGCCACCAATGCCGGTTCCTCTAAAGAGGGACGGGAGGCGGCCGTTTCCTGCACTGTTTCTTAGCAGCCGCCCTTTAGCTACCCACAAGAGTGGCTGTTTGTAACTTGGCTCACTTGCCTGAGCAACCCGGGACTATCTGTCCTGAATGCCTGCGGGGGATTCCTGCTGGTGCATCACCAGATCGTGCCGATGCCCTCATTTTACAGTAATTTAAGGTCCGAGGCTGGCCTAAGAGGGCAGAAGCACCCCAGACCCCCCTGGGCTCTCTTGGAGCGGCTCTTCTTGCAGATGCAAAGCAGTTTGGTTTCTCCCCTTGCAAACGCTCCCGTCCGACCAATCTGGGTACAGGGGTGCCATGACCCCCCCACCCCACCCTCATTCGACGGCTGGGGCACGGGGACACACACACACCTGAGGTTGTTTTCTGCAGCCCCAGCAGAGCTCCCTCAAGACAGGCCCTTGCCGAGGCTCCGATCGTTTGCATTCTTCAGGAATGCCGGGCGGGTAATTAACTCATTCGGAGGCAGCCTCTGAAACTGACTTAGTGTAGCATCATTGGGCTGCTGCTCCTAAAAATACATTCAGGAGCAGGAATTTCCCTGAGACACCTGACCACACACGGCCAGTACAACATTCTCTAGAGAACCTCACTCAAGAATTTTTCGTTTTGTTTTTTAAGTGAGAAAAAGAAAGGCTGGCTGGTATAGCCCCGACTGAGCCTAGGAGCGGCCTTACTCAATCGGTAGAGCTCCCAGGGGCCACTAGATGGTAGGGACAAGTCAGAATTCCCTCCGTTTCCTTTCTGCCATCTGGAGGCTGCGTTGGGGATTGCAATGCAGATCTGTGTAGGGCTGGAAGCTGGCAAAGTGGGACTCACTCAGATTCCAAGGTCACACTTGGATGCTGAAGGCTGAAAAAAGAAGGTCCAAACACCCACGCCTGAGTGGGAGGCGAAGGCTGGTCCATCCACCTCATGTTGATTATATCTTCCAGTGCATGTTTCTTCTTACTTTCTCCTTTGCAATAGGCAGCATATCGAGCTCGCTTGAGTCACTGAAGCTTCTGTGGTCATCGAATGTGGGCTGAGTTTCTGGACAGCGGAGACCAACTGCCCTGCCCCGTGAGACCGGACAGCCTGGCAGCCCTGCATCTTGCGGAAATGGCCTGGTCTCAGAGACGGACGGGGATGGGGAGGAGGAGGGGGCAGAGAAAGACCCAGGGGGTCCATGGGCAGCAGAGGAGGCCCAACGGTGTAGCCTCTGATTGGCATTTCCCTCTTAGGTCAAGGGAAGGCACCACTTGCGAAGGACAGCTCTTTGACTAATTTTTCAGGGGATCCCCCCCCCCCCCCCCCAAAAGCAAAAAACCCAACAACCCCAGAGGAAGAAAAAATGTTGCGGGTGGTAATGAGGAGAGCGCTCAAAACGCCGGTTCTCTCCCTTCCCTCCATTTAGAGGAGGGGCCCTTTTCCGTCCCCTCCCCCGCCCCACTCCTAACTCAGAAGTGAAAGCGAAAGGGTTAAGTTTAATTTATGCTGATTTCCATTTAATATCCTTCTCTCCCTTAGGAGCCAGCAGCTGTGAGCTGATTGTAGTTTCTCATTATGCAGCCTGTATCACTAATGGTCTGTGACAAAGGCATGCCATCTTCCAGGCCTCACCCCCGAGAGCCAATTAAACACACATACTCCTTTCCTGTTGGTGCCACGTTACAATGAAATTAAACGGAATTTCAAAATCATTCTCTCCTAAAGACATCTCTTTATAATAATTAATGCATGCTATTCCTTTGCATCTGAAATATTTATCAGGAGGATCAACGCTGAAAAAAATACATTAAAAAAACAACAACCCAGCTGTAAATCGGAGTCGCCGGCCACCCTCACTTGCACTTCAGCAAAACCTGCTCAGCTGCAGCTATTTTGAAGTTATTAGTACCACTAACGATAAGATCAAAATGAGTAAATACAAGTGAAAAGTCGCCAGAGAGACCAACTGCAGGCCAGCTTAAGTGGGGCGGAGGCGAAACAGCAGGTGGCCATTGAGGATTTCGGCGCATTCCCGCACACCCTCTGATCAGAGTCCTGATCCCCTGGGGCGGATGGATGGGAAGACCCATCGGGCGGTTATCTATCGCGGAGGCCAATCCGAACCGGGAACGTTAAGCGCTGCTGCGTGAGCGCCTTGGGCCAGCTGGGGCCGTTCCGGCAGAGGCCGCACCGAGAGGAATTCCCTCTCCACCCAGGCCGGCTGACGGGCAGGAACAGAATCCATCAGGCACCCAAGCGCCGCCGCCACTCGCACGATTAATGACGCCCGGCCCGAACAAAGGGAGGACACTGCGACCCTCCCCGTTAATTCCAGCAGCCCCTCCGTGGTTGGGAGGAAGGCAAAGAGGAAGTCGGGGTCAACGGCTGGAGGCCAGCAGGTCGTGTGCCATCCCAGGGGCCCTGGACTCTTTTCCCACGTGGGGCTGAAGGCACAAAAGCAGTTGGGGGGGGTGGGGGGGGGATGATTCATCTGTGGAATGACTTTCCCCCGGAAGCTGTGGCTGGAGAGGCAGAGGGTCTCCTGCTTGAGCAAGGGGGTTGGTCTAGAAGACCTCCGAGGTCCCTTCCAACCCGGTTATTCTGAAGCAAGGCCTGCTCTGCTTTCCCACTGTGGCCCTTCAGAAGCCCCGGAGGAGCAGAGCCGGCCCTCCAAGCCCAGCAGCAGGTGCCAAGAGACCCATTCTCACGGTCGTAACTTGAAGCACTGGGAGCCCCCACCCCCCCTTTCACAACTGGGCTTCCTGTTTCGTAAAGCCAGGCAGCTGAAGTCAGCCGTCCCCAACCTTTCTAGCTTGGCAGCCCAGCGCCGGGGGGTGGGGGGCGGGGGGGGGCAGCTGTGAGTGGCGTGCGCATGCACCCCTCCATCTGTTTACGCAAGTGGCGCTTAGCCCCTGCGCTCTCGCCTGTCACTCGCGCAGCCCCATTTCAAACAGGGCCACAGCCCGGTGGTTAGGGGCCCCTGAGCTAAGTCCCCGTTGCTGAAGTACGGCAGCAGCTTTCACGCTTGGCCAAGGTGGTGCAAAGCACCTCCTCTTTCTCTGCCCCGAAATGCGCTGGATCCAGGCTCCTTGGGCGACCCCGGAGTCTTCCGTGCGGTGAGAAGGACACCGGGGCATAAATGGCTGCACCCCAGAGGCCTCCTTCTAGGGACTCAACCTTCTGAGCGCATTACCGCCTGGTGGCCGGAACTGGAGCAAACGAGGCACTCGGTGGGGCTCCTGCCTTAAGTGAACAATGAGTAGGAATCAGGCTGTTGTGACAGAATCACTGAAACACTCCGCTGGTTAAAAGGGGTCAAGTGTTATTTGCATACTACCAGCCACACAACCATTTATCAGAACTGCAAGCAGCAGCTCCGCGCTGTTCCTGAGTTGCGGCCAACTGCAAATCCAGCCTACTTCCGCCACCTTGAGCCACAAACCGACATGTGGGGCTGCTGCTTCTTTGGCCCTCAGCAGCCCTATAAATACCTGGGTCAGTCCAATTGAGTAATGCCTCAGGTGGGGGATCAGACAGACAGAGAGGGGGGCTTCCATACCCTTTGAACTCAGCGCATCTCAACCGTGGCCCCTTGAAGATGTGTGGGCTTCACCTCCCAGAAGCTGCCTGGGGAATTCTGGGAGAGGAAGTCCACACACCTTCAACCTGGCGAGGTTCACAAACGCTTTGTGTTTAACTAGACCCGGAACCTGAGATCCTTCTCCCCAGCAAAGTTACCTGTCTTGAACCAGCCATCGGAAGTAAAGGCGTCCTGGGTCTCCACAGGTCTGTTCCAATATTCCCGGAACACCGTGGGTCCTTTCACAAAGAGCTCCCCTTCTTTGGCATCGAAGCCCGGAGTCACCTGTGGAAACAGAACAGTCACCTGCCCAGTCAGCCCCAGGGGTCCTGGAATCCCACACCCCAGTAATGGTCCTGGACGCATAGCAACCCTGGAGACGCCTCTGGCCTGCCAAGATAGGCAGCTTTCCAGATATCTGCCTTCGGTGATGGGGCCTGGAAGAACCAAGGGGAAAGGGGCACCTGTTTGGCCAGAGAGAGAGAGAGAGAGAGAGAGAGAGACTCTGGGCAGATCTGGACTTCTCGGGCCCGGTTCTCAGCATGACAGCGAGGGTCAGGCTCCGGTTTTGCCCCTCAGAGCTTAATTCCAACTGCTTTCCACCAAGGAAGAGGCTGAGCCAGGTAACCGGGCTCTTCCCCACCTCCTGCTGAAAATCCGGGCCAAGGGCCCCAGCAGGCCTGAAAAGGTGCAGCCAGGTAGGTGGGAAGAGCGCTTCTGCTCCATCCTGCATCCATGAAGAAGCCGGATGACCTCGGTGCCTCTGCTGGAGTGCTGGCACAAGCTCGGTGCTTCCCCAGCCTATCTGGAGAACAGCCCCCCCGACAGCAGCCACCGCCACCCCCTTCTAAGGGTTCAAGGCCACATTGCTGCCTTGCAATCAGTAAAACACACAGGCAGGGAGAGAAGAGATAACCGGGATGTTATTGTAAGAGGCTTTCGTCCCCTTGTAGCTGCGCTCCCTTGGATACTTTGCACGCACAGGGACGGGGTGGGAGAGCTGATATTTGGGGGCAACGGCAAACCGGCACCCGGGGCTGTTCCCTAAGTCTGAAGCCTGCACCCTTTTTTTCCAGCCAGGGCTGGCTCTGCAGCCGTCTTGCCTGCTCTCCTTCTTCCAAATCTCCAAGGTGCCCTTTCGTTGATGCACCGGATCTAACTTACAAGCAGCTGCTGAAAGCATCAGATGGCTAATTGCATAGATATCCCATTCTCCAAATGCCATATTTTAATGCACATTTTAGCTGCTTTAATGCGTTTGAGCAACTTTAACACCAAGGCACGGCTCGTGCCCTGGAAGGCTGCCCTTTGATAGCTTTCTGGTGCAAAACAGATCCGGCAAGTTGAGCTAGCTAGGCCAGCCGGTGCACTAGATAAGATTACACTTGCCGTGCGTGGAAATAAAAAAAGGTTATAATGAATTCTCCGAAGGGAGAAATCCAGCTGATTATAAAATGGGCATTTTCAATGCTTCCATTATTTTTTACCTCTCTATTAGCAGGCAGTCTTGGGGGGGGGGGCTACAGAGGGAGGGGAGAGCCAGCCCCTCCTGACACAACCTCCCCCCCCAAGGCCCGGTGGCTCAAGCGTTCTTTTACGGGTAATTTCTCATCATTCCCAAGAATCACGGAGGGCTAAAATTCAGCCCCCACCCTGCCCCCTGTGTAAGGGCTACGTCCTCAGCCAAGACCCACGACCCCGTTCCCCAACCCAGCAATCAATCGTTGATTTAATAAATGCACACGGCCACCCATCCCATAAACAGGCCTCCGGGTGTTTTAACCATTAGAACCAGAACTGAAACAGCATAAAACCGCCCCAATTTTTCTTTAAAAAAACCAACGACGCTTAGAATGGCTGTTAGAAAAGCTCCTCCCAGATGAAACTGAGGGATGAACCAGAGCAGGGGTCCCCAAACTTGGCACCTTTAAGACTGGTGGACTTCAACTCCCAGAATTCTCCAGCCAGCATAACTGGGAGTTGAAGTCCACCAGTCTTAAAGGTGCCAAGTTTGGAGGCCTCTGAGCTGGAGGCTTCCTCCTCCCAGTTTAAGGGGGTGTTTATCAAGGGCAGCAGCCTGACCCTGATGTGGGGGGGGGGCGGGGGGAGCAAGCGAAGGGCTCCCCCCTAAGATCCACGGGGGCTACGTGAGGGGCTGTGTCCCCTCCCCCCCCCCCGTTCAGGTGGCCCTGTGCTTCAGGGAAGCCTGGACGGTTTTGGGGGCCGTCCACATGCTCCGCCTAAAGGAAGCCCCGCGTAGGAAGGTTAATCTGGCCGGAGGGAGCTCGTTGTAAACACCGCAGCTGTTCCCTCCACCATCACCAGCACAAAGGAAGAGCCATAAAATTTAATTTTTCAAGACGCGCTTCCACAGAGGCGTTTCCCCCCCACGACCACCATCCCTGCCGCCTGGCCCTGGTTAAAAATGCAAAGGGTTTGCGCTGCTGGTTTATATTTGCAATTCAATAATTACCTGAATCAAGATACTTAAGGAATACTAGGAAGTTTCCTCTTGGCAGAGAAGAGATTTGGGGGGGGGGGGAATTTAAGCAGGGGGAAAAGCACCCCATCACTTCTGCTCTTTCTGTCTGCATAAATGGAGTTGTTTTATTAATCCATCTTCCGAACAAAAATCAGAAATCTGAATAGACAATTTTTAATCAGAGAGAGGCGGGAAAAACCACAGACAGTCGGGGGTTCTTAATTGGTGCCCCCCCCCCGGCTTACCCTGCCAGAGGACATTGGTCACACCCCATTCTCTGAGTTAGAGTCTATCCACACCCACCAGCAACCCCCCCGCCCCCTTTCATACTATCAGCTTACTATCAGTTTTAAGATTAAGCAGAGAGAGAGAGAGAGAGAGAGAGAGAGACTCAGCCCTGCTTGCGTACAGTTCATCCATAGCGAGACAAAGGATTTTATCTCCTGCCCCCCCAAAGTCCAAAGGCTGCTGAAATGCTCATCCGTGCAAAGATGGGGGGGGGGGGGGGTGTCAAGGTAAGGCATTCAGCACACAAGATGCAGCCATGGCCACTCACACCGGTGTGTGTGTGTGTGTGTGTGTATGAAAGGTCAGCCTCTTGGAGAAGGCAGGCGGTCAACGGTCAGGTGGAGAGGGGCCCTTCTGAGGAGAAGTCCCACCTGCCACAAAGAATTGGGGAGGATTCTGGGCGAGCTCTTGTGCAGGACGTCCTGTTTCTGTTCCTTCTACCTGCTTTCCTGTTTTGTTTTTTCATTATCCCTTTTCGCTCAGCCTACTGAGTTCCTTAAGCTGCTCCTCTGGGAGGGCTGACGCCTGCAAGATTCAGCTGTCTCTTAAGGGGGGGGGGGCAGAAATGGGCTTTTGAGAAGGCGGTTTGTGGCTCTTCTTGGCCAGCTCTCCTGCCCGCCTCCTGCCCAGGCCAGGTGGCTTGGCCTGCCTTGACCACAGGAGACAATCAACCAGCTCTCCTTCAAGTCAGATTTTCACGGGCCAATCTAAGAAATCCAGAAAGCCTTTCCAGGAAGTCGTCCTTGTGTCCCCCGCCCGTCCCCCCTCCCCCAAACCCCAGATCCATTTTCTCCCCTTTCCTTTCCTCTCCCCAAACACGCCATCCTTTCTGTCCAGGTAATCGCCCGCTGCCTGTTGCAGCCGTTTTTCCGTGACAGCAAAGAGCCCCTCGTGCCGGCAAACATCAGCAACCAGGCATCAGGTAGCAATAAACTTTTTAATCGCTGTCTATTGCTGGGAGTGAAGTGCTCAGCAGCACACGGCCCATCTCCTAGGCAACCTGGTCCCACAGACCCTCTCGTAATTAAAAATTCCCCCCTCAGCTCCCTTTCCAAGCGAGCGGCATTATCTCTGCTCCAAGCTGTGTGTCCTGCAGCAGGACTGCAGAAGGCGACTGGGAAGCGGCATCTGCACCCCCTTCCTCCCCCCCACAACTCGAGAGGAGGCCAATTTGGGGCTCCTTGGGGAGACTACGAGGAGAAGGAGCAAGAGGAGGAGGAGGAGGAGGAGGAGGAGAAGGGCAAAAGTCACCCCCGCCCAGCCCAGGCTGTAATCTGCAAAAGCCACATTTCGCATCTGGCGTTGCAATGGCGACTTTTCATAAAGGAGGCTGGGAATAATACAATCAGCTCACTTTTCATTTTGGAAGGCTTCACATTTTGAAATGAAAGGAGAAGCGCACAAGGGAAGGACGGCAGGTTTCAAAAATGGGACTCAGATTGCAAATCTCTGCAAACCTACGTTGCCTGTTTACAGGGGGGATGCACGAGAAATCAGTTCTTACGACTAAACCATCTTTTCCCCAAAACACGGGAAGAATCCCCAAATAAATATTTCTCCTTGTTAGGGAAGATGACAAGTACGCAGTTTACAAAAAGAAACCACCTCAACATTCACCTGTGGCTGGAGGGATAGAAACCGTTCAGAAATTCTGGAGGTTACACTTGAACCACTATTCAGTTTGAAAGAGCCGATCGATTTTCCCAGGACTTTCTTGAAGCAGAGAGACCGGAACACTCATGTCCATTCAGCCAGCCTTCCTTCCTTCCTTCCTTCCTTCCTTCCTTCCTTCCTTCCTTCCTTCCTTCCTTCCTTCCTCCCTCCCTCCCTCCCCCTGTCTAATCAGGTCTGGGTCTCTTAGCATTTCCTTGACCAGGCCAAAGCAGCCAACGTTGCCACCTGCAGTGACATTCCACATTTTAAAATAGTTAAGCTGCTCACAACCTCCGACCAGGCCTTCTGGAGGCAGTAGGGTGGTACCAACAAAGCCTCAGAGGAGAACCTCAAAGAAAGCCAACATGATTTTGCTATACCTTCATGATTTCTGAAATGGCTGAATGGAAATTTATCTTAGGCCAGATCAATTCAATTCTGGTGTTGCTAGCTTAGGCTGGCAGTAGCAAGTTGTGTCTCAAAGAAAGGGGGGGGGGGGGGGGG